TACATGACATTATACTTCACTCTTAAATACTTTGTTATTTTTGTGCTGAGTATAAGGACATTTTCCTATAATCTCAATAGCATTAACATACCTAAGAAAATTAATAATATCAAAATATCATCTAACACCCAGTCCATATTCAAAATTTCCCAATTGTCCCAAGAATGTATGAAAGTCAATATTTTCTTTTTGAGCCAGGATCCTGTCAAGGCTCACATATTGCCTTTAGCTGTTGCCTCTTTATGTATTTTAATCTAGAATAGTTCCCCACGTTTTTGTTTTTGTTTTTGTTTTATTTCGGCATATTATGGGGGTACAGATTTTAAGGTTTCAATAAATGCCCTTTCCCCACCTCCCCCCACAAGTCTGAGTTTCCAGCATGACCATCCCCCAGATGGTGCACATCTCATTATGTATGTATATACCTGCCCCCCTGCCCAATACCCTATTACTGTATGTGTCCACTTAGGTGCTGCTCAGTTAATACCAGTTTGCTGGTGAGTATATGTGGTGCTTGTTTTTCCATTCTTGGGATATTTCACTTAGTAGTATGGGTTCCAGCTCTAACCAGGAAAATATAAGATGTGCTATATCACCGTTGTTTCTTAGAGCTGAATAGTACTCCATGGTATACATATACTACATTTTATTAATCCATTCTTGGATTGATGGTTCCCCAATGTTTTTAAAATGAGTAAGTGTCCAGGCCAGTTTTCTTCTAGAATATTTCACATTCTCAATTTGTCTGATTGTTTCTCCATGTTGTAGTTTAAACCTTACTATTTTATTCCCCTCTATTTCCTGTAAACTGGGAAGAGGGGTCTAGAGCAGGGGTACTAAAGTTTGGGTTCACAGACGCCATACGATCTGTGGATAGAATTCAGAGTCTGTGAGCTTTGATTGGGGGAAAATGTATCTTTATTTTAACGTATCTCTAACTCAGTGGTTCTCAAATGGGGTGATTTTGTCCTCTCCTTCCCCAACCCTTGGACATTTGGCTATGTCTGTAAACATTTTCAGATGTCACAATTGGGTGGGTAGGAGGATGCTACTGGCATTAAGTAAAGGCCAGGGATGTAGCTAAAGATCCTACAGTGTACAAGAGAGCCCCACCAACAAAGAATTATCCAGTTCAAAATGTCAGTGGTGTCAAGGTTGATAAGCCTTGTCCTAACTGGATTTCAGCATTTCCTTTGATTATAAATATAGGAAACTCTTAATGGGCACAGCATGTACAATATAGTTACAGTACCTGTAACTTTGTCACTAATAGAAATTTCAGGTGTTTTCATTTTACGCAGGTATCTCAAAATACCACTTGTGCTCATTTATTGCTTAGAAATTAAGGTAGTTATCAGATTCATATTATTCATAAGGAAAAATATAATTGGAAAAGTATTTTGGTAGCTGTATTTCAGCATCTGTTGTAATCTTGTGTATGCTTTTTTTTTTTTTTTTTGCATGTAAAAACATTATTCTGGAAAGGAATCTGTAGGCTTTACTAGACTGTCAAAGGAATCCATAGGACAATAAAGCTTAGCCCCTGGTCTAGAAGCTTGATTGGATTGGCTTAGACATTTTTGGTGAAAATATTTCATAGATAATGATATTCTGTCATTTCATGAATTACATAATATTGAGTTGTCCTGCTATTCTCAGTGATGTTAAGTTTGAGGACCTATTTTAAGGTGGTGACAGCCAGATCTCTCTATTTTGAAGATAGGTTTTTCCCTTTTCATTGCTAAGTAATCATTGGGGTAATACTCTGGCGCATGAGGATTTTCTGTTGTTAACAACCTTTCACCTGATGGCTTTAGCATATATTGGTGATTTTTGCCTGAATTAGTTTTTATGTTGGGAGTTGCAAATGGTGATTTTCTAATTCATTTCTTCTACATTTTATTACTGGCATTCTTCAGTAAAGAAGACATTTTCTTTTCCTATCCCTTTTCCTCATCTCATTTTCTACCTTAAATGTCACATTAATTTTTACTTATTCAGTGTTATACTCCTTTACTTAAAAAAAAATGCTCAAATTGTGCCAAATGTGGCCAGTGGGAGCCCCTTTAACTTGGTCCTTTGTCCTTTTAACAGACCCTACTGGTCTTTGAGCGTATCCTTGCTTTCTTACACAAGAATTCTCAGGGTGGACTTGTTCTTTTTGTGCTCCAGGTCTGGAGTTAGATAGTTCTTCAAACAGCCCTGATTTCTTTTCATTGGAAATGGTCCAAGAAACAAAGGTCTGGGCACTTGGTGTGCTCTTTGTTTGCTGGGATGGGAGGAATTATATCTAGGCCCTTTCACATGAAGTTTTTAACTAAGCTTTTAACTTGAAAAGATATTTTGAGTTATAAGAAAGAAAATCAAATCTTCGTTATTTACTCATCTTTGCAAATCCTTTCTTTTGGAATGGTTGAGTCTGTTTCTTCCTTTCCCTATCAGCCCAGATCCATGTTCTTAACTACTCAGGATTATTGGTTGCTGTCTAATTCCTTTCTCTCTCTCTTTGGATATGTTCTATACACCACTTATTTTTTTAATCTATAAAATCTTTATTATAGTATCTGTGTGACTGGGGTAGGCACATAGAATACATAGGAAAACAGAAACATCAAGAAATTCAGTCTAGGCCGACCACATGGGCTCATGCCTGTAATCCTAGCACTTTGGGAGGATCTCTTGAGTCCAGGAGTTTGAGGTTGCAGCGAGCTATGATTGTGTCCCTTGCACATCTTGGATGACAAAGAAAGACTCCATCTCTGAAAAAAAAAATAATAAAAAAATGTATGGTGAAGGAAATGAAATGTCAAATGGTTTGAAATTGAGATATACGGAGTCTCCTAATTTTTTGTAATCCCTTTATAGCTAGAGATTTTTCCCTCTTCTTAAAAGAATTAGGAATGGTATATGAAAAAACCAGAATATTTCCCAATTCTGAATTTTTGAGGAATAAACAGTATGTTTCCCCCCCAGGTATAGAAATAAGGGAGTCTAGCAGTATTTTTCCACAATTCCCCATATCCATAAGTGTTTCTAGGTTCCTAAGGTGGCACTTAGGATTTTTTTTTTTTCTGTAAAAACAACATGAAGGTAAGCAATAAATTAAGATAGCAGTGTACTATTGTTGGAATGAATATCTAATATTAAGCAATAGATGTTCCACACAAATACATTTTTCGCATGTGTGGCCTACCACTTTAAGTGTCAAAATGTGTTTATTTTAGCCATCTTATTTAAGGAAATTAATAAAATTGTTAACAGAGTAAATCTTAAATTTAGAATTGCCTTCACCAAAGATTTAATATATAGGATTCTGTTATATAATATTTCCTGTCCTTTAGATATTTGTTCTGTCTTGAATATATATAAACTTTCATGCAGAAACAACCATACACTTAATGTGTATGGATGTAAATGCAACAGGCCAGTGATGCCTTTCAAACATCATTTTCATTACAGAACTCTCTTGACTCCAAATGATGGTTCTTTATTGCTTAGAGAACTAACTGCAATTTTGTTGTACTCTGTGTGTGTATGTCTGTTGCGTGTGTATGTGTAAGTGTAAATATAACTTATTTGTCAAGTGCTTCCCAATGCAAGCATTTCACTGTAGCCAGGTCAGTTTCCACTATGGTCAGTTCCATAGTCTTATGATTCATTATTCTATGTTTCTAAAGTTTATTCATGCTATTGTATGTTTTCTGTTTAAGGATCTTGAGGAAGTTACTTATCTTTGTGTATTTTCTTAGCAGCTTATTTCTTATCTTATGGTTTCAGAGAATGGTGTAATTGGTTATGTTTCCTTTGCATTGAAAGTACTGAGATAGATATGCAAGGAAGTCTGGGAAATTTAGCTTTCCAGCAAACCAGAGGGAAGTTAGAGTGGATGAACTATTTCTCACAGGTCCCTGCCTTATATCTCTGTTCCTTATTTCCTACTCTTATTTTTCTAGTCACCAGGTTTCCTAACTTGGTTTTTTTTTTTTTTTTTTAAACTTGTTAAACCACATAATCTTTCTGGGCCTTGCTATACTTACCTCTGTTATGACAGCACTTAGACTAGGTGATCTCTAAACATTTCAGTAATAGAAGATTATATGTTCTGCAATATCCAGTTTCAGTATAGCTTCATTTATAAAGTCTTACCTGACACTGTAGCCTATGTTAATTGTGTTGCCCCACAAATTCTTTTAGCATTTACTAAAAACTGTAGACATAGATTAATTTGTGTTTTGCTTACATACATTTGTTTTGATTACTTAATGCAATTGTAAGCTCCTTGAAAAATGATACTTCTTTTTAAAATAATTAAATTACTAATGATTTTATAATCATATTACTACATGGCAGTCACATAATAATAATTAAGATGATAATATCTAACATCTGTGAACACTAACTTTGAGGCGAGAATTATTTTCAATGCTTTATAAATATCCATTTGAATAATTCATATAAGATGTTTATGTCTCTTTTCATCTCTGTTATACTGATGAGGAAAGGTACACAAAGGTTAAGTCAATTTCCTCATGGTTATACTGCTGGTGAGTGAAGGTGAGATATGAACCCAGGCAGGCTGACTTCAAAACCCATGTACTTATCCATTTTGCTGTAATGCATAATTACTATATTTTTTTATTTACTTATTTATTTTTGGGCCATTCTGAGCATTGTACCATAATTACTATATACTTGTTGAATGAATGGAATGTTTTCATCTTAAATATATGTTGGGTGCAACATTGGTATCTTTTGTACTTTGGATAAAAGACTAAGGATGTTTCAGTTTGGGGAGTTTTTTTAAAACAAGGACTAATAACTTAATTAGCTAACTAAATATTTTGATCAACTTTCTCAATTAACAGATATTCAAATTGCCTACTTATAGGGATTTTGAAAAATGCTTGATTTATTTTTTGGGAAGAATTTGTGAAATGCATAATAAAAATCAATTTTGATTTGTATTGTGTCTTTATTATTTGTTTCTTACTCATTTTCAGTTGAGTGGTGATTTTATGCAATGGCTTCAAGCCACAGTTCTTCACCAGTGCCTCAAGGAAGCAGCAGTGATGTTTTCTTTAAAAAAGAGGTAGATCCAACAAAACACATTCGACCTGTGCAGTCACTGCCAGATGTGTGTCCCAAGGAACCCACAGGTAAATTTTTTTCTTCCTTTTTTTTTTTAAGAGTTTTTATTGATGATTTGTATTACCTTTAAATGAATAGTCAAGTTTCATATACTTACCTTAGAAGAGTCAATTTTACAATGTTAAAATAAAGAGACATAAAGGATTTGGAAATTATTGGGAAATTGGAATATAGTTCTTTTCATACATTTCATACATTACTTATATAAACTGAGAAAGTGTTGAAGGTACAGATTGAAAGCTGCTTAATTAAAACATAGTACAATCAGTCCTCATTATTTATAGATTCCATATTTGCAATTCTCATATAACCCCCAAATCAATACTTGTGGCATCTCTGTAGTCATTTGCAGACTTGCACAGAACAGTGAAAAGTTTGAATTACCTGACACACGTGTTCCCAGCTGGGGTTGAACAAGGCAAAGCTCTGCCTTCTTGTTTCGGCTCTCATACTATAAACAAGTTTTCTTTTTGTGGTCTGTTTAGTACCCCATATTTTGTGCTTTATGTTGGTGATTTTGCTGATTAAAATGGCCCCTAACCATAATGCTGAAGTGCTGTCTAATGTTCGTAAGTGCAGGGAGGCTGTGATGTGCTTTATAGAGGAAATATATATGTTATATAAGCTTCATGCAGACATGAGCTATAGTGCTGTTAGCCTTGAGTTTAATTTTAAGGAATCACGGATATTTACTGAATAAGATGTCTTTAAACAGAAACACATACAAAACAAGGTTATATATTGATCAGTTGATGAAACTGTTGTGACCAGAGGCTCCCAGGAATCTAATACTTTATTTCTCTAGGAGCAGTGTTTCAATATTTGCTAATGAAGTGTTAAAGGTGACTTTATAGAATAAAACTACTGTGAATAATGAGAACCAACTATATGTTTTTCTTTCCTCTATAGTTAATGCCATAACAAAATTTATGTCGCCTAATTATAAGTTAAAGTATATTTTAGCCAGGAGTGCCTACCATAATTCAACAGAAAAAAGGCATACCTCTAAACAACACTGATATTAAAGGATAGAAAATATATTATGGAGGGTAGCAAAGATTTGATGTTGAGAAAAATGATAGAGAAATTGTACATTAAGGAAAAGAATTAATGAAAGACTGATTTTCAGTACCTTTCACTCCACCCTGCAGTTATCACTCTTCAAATTTTGCATATCCTTTATCTTGTTTTCATACCCTTGGCAATCGATGCTGAAGCTGAAGGTTATTTAATCATTTTTTTTTTAAATCATTTACCATGGAAGAGATAGTTTAGTTTGTGTTTTTAGAATCTAAGCATTTTTAGTTTTCTAGGATGTACTTTCAAAGTTCTCTTGTTTACTTTTTGCAGGTGATTCAAATAGTTTATGTGTTGCCCCATCTCTAGTTACAGATCAACATAGATGGACTATATATCATTCCAAAGTAAATCTCCCAGCAGCACTAAATGATCCTAGATTAGCAAAAAGAGAATCTGACTTCTTCACAAAAACATGGGGACTGGACTTTGTGGACACTGAAGTCATACCTTCATTCTACCTCCCACAGATCAGCAAGGAACATTTTACAATATATCAACAGGAAATCTCTCAGGTAATATCTGATCTTGAAGTTAGTTATAGTCAGATCAAAAATAGGTCAATAGAAAGGTTTTTAGTTTGATTTATTGTAGATTTTTGACCAATAATTTTTGATGAACCTATAGTGCTCTGTTTTGTTTATATAGATTCTGTCCTGGGTTGCATTTAATTCTTTGTCTAGATATATTTTAATACATTTCTTTTATATACTGTAGTGATTTTTCAGAATTACGTATTTCTTTGCTTTTTTTTGCCTTTTTTTAAAATTTCAAAATATTAAGAGGGTACGAGTGTTTTGTTACATGGCTTGAGTCAGGGCTATAAATGTGCCTATCACCTGAATAGTGTTCGTTGTACCTGTTAGGTAGGTTTTTGTCTCTCCCCCCTCTCTGTTTGATTTCCAATGATTTTTACTTGTGTCTATGCATTTGTGTGCCTATTAGTTAGTTCCAGTTTATTAGAGAGTACATGTGGTATTTGTTTTTCCACTCTTGAGATACTTTGCTTAGGATAATGGTCTCTAGTTCCTTCTGTATAGCTGTAACAGGCATTTAATTCATCCTTTTTTATGGCTGAGTAGTACTTCCCAGTATACATATATCACAATTTGTTAATCCACTCATGAATTGATGTGCACTTGGGTTGACTCCAGATCTTTACAATGGTCAGAATTACACATTTCTTTTTTTTTGAGACAGAGTCTCACTTTGTTGCCCAGGTTAGAGTGAGTGCCGTGGCATCAGCCTAGCTCACAGTAACCTCAAACTCCTGGGCTCAAGCAATCCTCCTGCCTCAGCCTCCAGAGTATCTGGGACTACAGGCATGCACCACCATGCCTGGCTAATTTTTTTCTATATATATTAGTTGGCCAATTCATCCCTTTCTATTTATAGTAGAGATGGGGTCTGGCTCTTGCTCAGGCTGGTTTTGAACTTCTGACCTCAAGCAGTCTGCCGGCCTCGGCCTCCCAGAGTGCTAGGATTACAGGCCTGAGCCACTGCGCCCAGCCGTGAATTACACATTTCTAATAGTCCTAAGATTCAGTATGAAACCTATCCTACCTACAAGGAGAAAATGGTTCTATTAGGCCTATAAAACTCAGAGGATTTGTGAGGTTTTAATAGAGCATTTTAGTTCTAACAGATAGCCTTACTATCTCTAACATAATTATAACTCAATATATTACTTTAAACTCAATCTGAGAGCAAGAAGTGAGTGCGGCACTATGTTTGAGATGGCCTATTATTCATTTTAGAGTCTTATGAAGTGGCTGTTGCCAATATAATTATAGTTAATATTTCAGTTTTTTTTTAAATCATTAAAATGGTACAGGGGATATTTATTTATATTCTTATAACTATTCCCTTTTTATACTTTTTTCATTATCAAGCCTAAGTTGAATTTAGCTGATTTTATTTTACTTGATTACTTTGTTCCTTTTATGATTTGGAGACAGGCTGAATATGGCTATATTATTGACACTAATGCTATACAGTATCTGGTTCATTTTTATTGCTATCATATATTTTTATACAGAACCTGTAAATTTTATTTATCTTTGTATGTATACATTGCCATATACTGTCTAGAGTTTTTGTGTTCTGTTTTCAATGATCAGATCTAACTGGATGTTGAAGTGGATGAGCTTTAATATGGTCTTTTTTTGATGGTTTCTAACCTTAAACATCATATTCATATAATAACATATATTTGGCTTTATTTATCCATTTATTGATCAAATATTTATTGAGTGACTTCTGTGTGCCAGATACTGTTTTAAATACAAGGTATACAGCAGAGATGAAAACAGACATCAGTTCCCTCCCTTACAAAGATTATGTTTCTAGCAAGGGATATAAACAATAAACTGTAAAGCAACCACTGAAATAGCAAAGCAAAGAATATTAGCTATTAAACCAACAGAAGAGAGAAATGGGATCAAAACCTATTAGGGAGGTTTTTACCCCACCATCAAATGTTAATATATTTTAAAAGGCTTCAAGTCATACAGAGTATGCCCTCTGGCCACAATACAATTAAATTAGAAATTAATAATATGGAAAAGTCTGTGGAAAATCCACAAATATTTGGAAACCAAAACTTTATGCTTCTAAATAAAATGTGGGTCAAAGAGGAAAGTAATGTGAACTGAATGGCATTGAAAACAACATATCAGGATTTGTGGGATGATGTTCAAGCAGTACGTAGGAAGAAATTTATAGCTTTAAATGCATATATTAAAAAAGAAGAATAATTTTAAGTCAGTGACCTCAGCTTCTACCTTATGTTGGAAAAAGAAGAGCAAATTAAAACTAATTAAAGAGAAAAATAATAAACATCAAAGTCCAAGTCAATGAAGTAGAAATTAGAGAAACAGTAGAGAAAATCATTGAAACCAAAAGCTGATTCTTTGAGAAGATCAATAAAATTGATAAACTTTTGGCAATACTGATCAGGAAAAAAACAGAGAAGACATAAGTCACCAATAACAAGAATGAGATGACATCACTACAGATTCTACAGAGATTATAATGCTAATAATGAAATGTGAATAACTTTATGCCAATAAATTCAACAACTTAGATCAATTGACAGATTCCTTGAATAACACAAATTATCAAAGCTCTTTCAAGAAAAAATAAATAACCTTAATAGCCTCATATTAATTAAAGAAATTGATGCCTAAATATCTTCCTACAAAGGAAACTCAAATCCGCATGGCTTCACTGGTGAATTCTACCAAACATGTAAAGGGAAAATCATACCAAATCTACACAGTTTTTTTTAAGTTTTGGCCAAGATGTGGTGGACAGGGCTGGTACTGAGATGAGGCTGGGTAAGTGAGCAAATTGTGAGGGGCACCAGAATATGAGAGTGGATATCTCTTTAAATATTGGACCTTATGCTTCTTGCTTGCCTCACCCTACCTCCAGCCCTTGGGGAGTAACTGGACCTCTCAAATACTGTTGGTGAGAATTTAAAGTGCTACATCCTCTTTGGAAAACAGTTTCTTAAAATGCTAATTATACTTCTGATCTGGCATGTAAGGAGCTTGGAAGCTGTCACTTTTGTTCTCGCAACAAGAAAAAATCTGAGCAAACTGAAAATCAAGAAACCCTTATGAAGGTTATAGTCCAGGGGCACAATCTCACTAAGACTGAAACCTAATCATAAGGTCATAGAATGCTTCCCCTCCCTTCACGCCTTCCCACCACATCAGTGGGGTACCTGAATAATAACGAGAATACAACTGAAAGAACTACATGTCTCAGACTTACTTAAGATGTCTGTAGGGAAACCCAGAGATAGCAGAAGAGATCAAAAACAAGGACACCAGAGGAAATTTTAGCCTCTGTCACCTGCAGCTATAGCAGTCATTAAATAAAGCCTAACTCTTACTCAGATAAAACCTCCCACTAAAGGCCTGTTTACATCAGTTCTTTTTAACTTTAGTACATCATATCTGGCTTTCAACAAAAAATTACAGTGCATACTAAAGACAAAAAACACAGTTTAAAGAATAGAGCAAGTATCAGAACCAGACTACGATACGGCAGCAGTGTTGGAATGATCAGACTACAAATTTAAAACAACTATGATTAATATACAAAGGGCTATAATGGAAACCATGAAAAATAAGCAAGAATGGATGAATAATGTAAGCAGAGAGATGGAAACTTTAAGAAAGAATCAAAAGGAAATGTTACAAATAAAAGGTGTGTAACAGAAATGAAGAATGCCTTTGATGAGTTAATCAATAGACTTGAAATGGCAGAGGAAAGAATCAGTCAGCTTGAAGAAATGTTGATACAAACTCACCAAATTTGTGGGATGCAGTGAAAGCAGGACTTCAAGGAAATATAGCATTGAATGCATATATTAGAAAAGAAGAAATATTTTATTTTATTTTTTTTTTATTTTTTTTTTTTTTTTAGGGGGGCCAAACCATGTGGCTTTATTATACACTCGTGGACGAGGTTCTGGGGCCCCAAGAGCAGGGGCCCCGGAAGTCGCCCAGAAAAGAAGAAATATTTTAAATTAATAGTCTAAGTTTCTACCTTAGGAAATCAGAAAAAGAGCAAATCTAAAGGAAGCAGAAGAAAAGCAATAATAAAAATTAGAGCAGAAATCAGTGACACTGACAACAGTAAATCAGTAGAGAAAAATCAACAAAACTAAAAGCTGGTTCTTTGAGATCAATAAAATTGATAAATGTTTAGCTAGGTTAAGAAAAAAGAGAAGACATTAGATACTAATATCAAAAATGAAAGAGGGGCAGGATAATAAAAGAATATTATGGACAATTCTGTGCCCACAAATTTGATAGTGTAGGTAAAATGGACTAATTCCTTGAAAGGCACAATTTATCAAAACTTACACAGTAGGAAATAGATGTTCTGAATAGGCCTATATTTTTTTAAAGAAATTGCATCAATAATAATCTCTCAAAAGAGAAAGCACCAGCCTTTCTGTTGGGTTCACTGGTGAATTCTACCAAACATTTAAGTAAGAAATTATACTAATTCTTTACAGTATAATTCAAGAAATAGAAGCAAAGAAAATACTTTAATTCTATGAGGCAAGTATGAATCTAATACTAGAATCGACAAAGATATTACAAGAAAAGAGCACTATGACAATATTATCTCTCATGAACATGGATGTAAAAATCCTTAACAAAATATTAGAAAATTCAACCTAACAATATATGAAAAGAATTATATACCACGAGCAAGTAGGACTTATTCTAGATATTCAAGGCTGGTTCACTATTTAAAAAGCAGTTAAAATAATCCACACATTAACAGGCTAAAGAAGAAAAATTATATAATTGTATCAATGATATAAAGAAAACATTTGATGAGATTCAGTACCCATTCATTATAAAAAAGAAACTCTCAGCAAGCTAGGAATAGGAGGGAACTTCCTCGACTTGATAATGAACATTTACAAAAACCCTGTAGCTAATGATGGAAAACTAGATGCTTCCCACTAAGATCAGGATCAAGGTAAGGATATCCCCTCTCAACACTTCTTTTCAAAATTGTACTGGAATCCCTAACTAATGCAATAAGACAGAAAAGGAAATAATAAATATGTAGATTGTGAAGGAAGAGATAAAAACTTTGTTTGGAGATAATATGATTATCTGTGTAGAAAATCCCAAGGAGTCAAAAAAAAGATATTCCTGGAACTGTAAGTGACTACTATAGAAAGGTTGCAGGATACAAGGCTAATATAAAAAAGTTAATTACTTTATTATATACCAGCAATGAAGAATTGGAATTTGAAATTAAAAACACAGTGCCAATTACAATAGCATTAAAGCAAATGAAATACTTATGTATACATCTAACTAAATATATATAAGATATTCAAGGAAAACCATATGACTCTGATGAAAGAAATGAAAGATCTGTATAAATGGAGAGATATTCCATGTATGTGGATAGGAAGACTCGATATTTTCAGAATATGTCTTCTTCCCAACTGGATCTATAGATTCAATATATGCCCAATTAAAATCCCAGCAATTTGTTTTGTGGGTATTGAGAAAGTGATTTTAAAGTTTATATAGAAAGCAAAAAGACCCAGAATAGCTAACATAGTATTAAAGGAAAGGAACAAAATTGGAGGAAGGACGCTACCCAACTTTAAGACTTACTGTAAAGCTACAGTAATCAAGATAGTGTGGTATTGGCTAGAGAGTAGACATATGAATCAATAGATCAGAGTAGAGAACCAAAAGTAGACCCACACAAATATAGTCAATTTGATTTTTGACAAAGGGTCAAAGACAATTCATAGAGAAAGGATTGTCTTTTGAAGAAATGGTACTAAAACATTTAGACATCCACATGCCAAAAAAATAAAAATAAAAAAAGTAGACACAGACCACCTTATGCTTTCCACAGAAATTAGCTCAAAACTGATCATAGGCTTTAGTGTAAAACACAAAGCTGTAAAACTTCTAGAATTAACATAGGAGAAACTCTAGGTGACCTTGAGTTTGGCAATGATTTTTTAAATATGAAACCAAAAAAATACAATCCACAAAAGAAAAACTTGAAAAATTAGACTTCAATAAAATTATAAGGTTCTACTCTGTGAAAGACACTGTTAAGAGAATCAAAAGACAAGCCAAAGACTGGGAAAAAAATATTTGCAAAACACAGATCTGTTCAAGAACTGGTACCCAGAATATACAAAGATTTAAAACTCAACAATAAGAAAACAAAAAACCCAATTAAAAATGAGCAAAGGACTTGAATAGACTTTTCTCCAGAGAAGGTACACAGATGTCCAATTAACACATGAAACGAAAGATGGTCAATGTAGCTAATGATAAGTTTTATGTTATGTATATTTTACCACACTAAAAAATATGGGTAAAAAAATCTGAACAGATACCTCACCAAAGAAGATACGCAGATGGAAAATCACCATATGAAAAGATGCTGAACATCAAATGTCATTAGAGAATTGCTAATTAAAGCAATGAGATGCCACTACATATTTATTAGAATGGTGAAAATTCAAAACACTGACATTACCAAATGTTGGCAAAGATGTGGAGCAACAGGAACTCTCATTGATTGTTGGTGGGAATGCAAAATGGTATAGCCACTTTGGAAAACAGTCCTGTAGTAATTGACAGAATTGCTACCAGAACTCTGAACACTAATAGCCTAATGCTTTTCTTGTTATCACACTCCCACTTTCCCAGGTATCCTTTTAATGGGATCTGAAAAGATAACAATGTTGTTGTTAGTGGTCATCTAATTCTAAATCAGTGGGATTTTTTTTTAAGTTATTCACAGAAAGTGTGAATAACTACTTTCTATCCTAGATATAAAGGTTTTTAAATTTTCTTCCTTGATTTAAAAAAAATAATTCTCTTAATTGATTTCTTTTATATAATTAAAGATTTTCCATTTGCTTTCCCACTTTATTCCAAGTATGGGGATTTTTCTATAATTATATAAGGTGGGTAAGTATAGGTATATAGGTGTATATAGATCTCATAGTGGTATTTATTGTATTAAGCACACTTGTTATTTGTATTTAAGTTCAAGAGGATAGGGATTTAATATTAAAAATTATAAAACTAATTTGGTGTATTTTGATGTTCTATTGTGAAACATTTTGATGCTTTGAATACTTTTATTTCCATTGATCACATTATTTATTGTCTTTTTATTAGAGAGAGAAGATTCATGAGAGATGCAAGAATATTTGTCCTCCTAAAGATACCTTTGACAGGACTCTTGTACATACTCATGGTATGAATATGTGCTATTTGTAGGTAATAAAGCATAGCATAAATATTAATGAACAAAATCTTAATTTGGGGACTTTGTTGGCTGTCATATCTATAATTTTTATTTCTAGCAAAATTTTTGTAGTCTATGATTATAATTTCTAAAAAACTTTTAAGAGAAAAACGGATCTGACAATAGTGTAATCTTTCAGTTCAACAAATATTTATTTAGTGTCTTGGTACTTTCCTTTTTGCTTAAAAATAGATGAGTAAGCTGGATGTGGTGGTGTGTGCTTATAGTCCCAGTTACTTGGGAGGCTTAGGTGGGAGTATCACTGAGCCCAAGAGTTTGAGGCCAGCCTGGGCAATATAGTGATACCCTTAAAAAAATGAGTAAGAAATAGTCTCAGTCCTCTAGGAGCTGATGGTTTCCTGAGTAAGGTTAAAGAAATAAATCACTAATTGCAGCACTGTATATTAAATAGTAAGTTCATTGTGGCTAGTTTGTATAGTGTTCCTAACTCAGCTTTTTAGAAGGCTTCCTAGAGTTCATGATTATGTGTGTTTTAAACTAGTTAATGTGAAACATTTATGTGGGAAAAGGAATTCCAGGAAAAGGTAACAGTTTATACAAAGCCATAGAGTCAACAGAGAACATAGCATGTTCAAGGAATTGCAAGAGTTTAGTATGCAGGCTTTACTGGGAGCAAGAGATGAGACTGAAACAATGAGCAAAGATCATGAGAAGCCTTGCATGCCATGATCAGGAATTTTACTTTTTCTAAAGGCAATGTAGAGCTGCAAAATATTTTTAACTGGGCATGATCAGATTTATGATTATACATTTTACTTTGAAAATAGTTGTAGTTAATGAATTACAGGATGATGCTTAAGACTGGAGACAAGGAGACAGTTGGAGGCTACTGCAGTAATACAAGTGAGAAAGGATGTGGTCCTATTAACAGTTATAGTGGATGGAGAAGAAACTAGGCCTTTGAGGCCTTTGAGAGACACAGGTTTTGATGGCCCGTTGTTTCTTGGTAATAAAGCAAGATGATTCAAGGATAAATTCCATGTTTCTTGCTTGAGCAACTGGCAAGGTGATAGATGCAATACAGTAGGAGAAGCAATATAGGAGGAATCTTGGAGGAGCTACAGGCAAGTTCAGTTGCAGATTTGCAGTGAAGGACATATCTGATTGGCAACCTGGAGCTCAGGAAAGGGAGATCTAGGCTGAAGATGTAGGTATGGTATACATTATAGATAATATGCTAGACAGTATGCTAGCATGGTATTTGAATTCAAGGTCACGGATAGAATCACCCAGGGAGGATGTGAATAGTGAGAAGGACTGGTGATGGAACACTATGAAGCTGTCACATTTAAGGGAAAGATAGAAGATGAGATACCTGTGAAGCAGACTAAAAATGTGGTTGGAGAGAGAGGAAAGTCAGCCAAGAGAGAATTCTATGTTAGAAATGAAAGGTAGTAAGAATTTTAAATATGTAAGAATGCTAGAATACTTCAGGGATAGATCAATTTGTACACTGAGAGACCTCCTTGGATTTGGCAATTAGGAAATCTTAGGGAGAGCATTTAGACTGCAGGAGTGGTGGTTACAGAAACTTCAATGCTATGTATTAAGGAGAGAGTCCAGGCAAAAGAAATGTAGGTATGTATGTGACTTGAAGTTTTGAGATAGGGTACTAATTAGAGAGAACAGAGTAGAATAATGTTTTTTTATGGCTAGGACTAGATGAGGCAAGAGAGGCATTAGCATAACCTTGAAAGTGAGTGCCTTTGCAACTGAGACCTCCCATGCTTCAGCCTATCCTGGCCCTGGGGTTTATCTTTTTCTTTTTGTTCTTCCTATTTTTTTTTTTTTTTTAATGGGAGAGAACTGAGCATGTTTATATGCAAAGATAGTAGAAGAGAGGAAGTTGAAGATAGGAGAGAGGCAGAGTAATTGATGAAGTAAATTCATATTAATAAGAGAGGTAGGAGGGGATGGAGTCCAAATGCTGAAAGGTTAGTTTTAGAGAGGAATACTTTATCTGATATTGGATTGGCTCCAGGATAAAGGTAAAGTAGGTTCATTTGAAGGTAAGTTTGTGGGTGATACAAACTAGGATGTCTGAGAAGAAAATTAATATGGTATTAAAAAGCAGTGTTTGGTTATAAATTCTGGATGGGATGGTGGACATTTTAAATAATAAAAACAGTATTCTTATTTTAAAATTTAATTCATTTTTTAAAAAGTACGTAGCATATCATATTTAATCTTAACAAAACTTAGTAAGATAGCCTTCCTGTGTCTATTTAAAAAAGATTTGAAACATATTTAGTTGTGTTATTGCTGCTGTATAATTGATTATATAAAATTATTTGAAACATATCTTATTCAGTGCTTTGTCTACAGTAGGCATATAGTAGGTGTTTCATAGATACTTGTTGAAGGAGGAAACTTAAGTGGTTGTTTGGTTGTGATCCAGTACAATACTGAATCTATCAAATATATTTTTGGTAAATTAAATTATGAAGGTAAAATGAAAACAAGTTTAAAAAATTATATTTCCCTTTTTCCTTTTTCTTATAGATAAATCCAGGACAGATCTGGAGCAAGTACCTAAGGTAATAAAGCTTAAAAATGAGAAAACTATTTTTAAATATTTATTTAATCCTCAATTTTACCTTATATGAAGATTTCATTTGGCTGTTTTTGACATTTAGGCCACTTTGCCCCTTCTGGGACTTCGTTCATCACTCTTTTCTTTTTTTCTTCATCTTTCTTCCTTCTTTCTTTCTTCTTTTCTTTCTTTTCTTTCTTTTCTTTCTTTTCTTTTTCTTTTCTTTCTTTTCTTTCTTTCTTTTCTTTTTTTTCTTTTTCCTTTTCTTTCTTTTTCTTTCTTTTTTCTTTCTTTTTTCTTCTTTTCTTTTTTTCTTTTCTTTCTTTTCTTCTTTTCTTTTCTTTTTCTTCTCTTCCTTCCTTCCTTCCTTCTTCCTTCCTCCTTCCCTCCTTCCTTCCTCCTTCCTTCCTTCCTTCCTTCCTTCCTTCTCCTTCCTTCCTTCCTTCTTCCTCTTTCTCTCTCTCTCTCTCTCTCTCTCTTCTCTCTTCAATCTCTCTTCTCTCTCTCAACCCAACGAAAAAATATTAATTGACAAATAACATTGTATTTATGTTCTTTCTCTTTTGCATCATCAATCTCTTTCTCATCACTGAAATCTACAAATATGTTTCAGTCTCTCCATTCTAAAAAATAATTTTATTGATCATACTACCCCTGCAATCTATTGAGATATTTTCTTTGTATGAAAAATTTTGTAGCTATGTGTAATAGATACTTTTTTTTTTTCTGGCAAGAGAGGCCATTGCCTTTATCAGATTCTCAAAGAAGCTGTGACAAATGCTTTTTAGGGTGAGAAAGAGACGGAAAGATGAAAGACAGGCACAAAAAGAGAGAGGGAGATCATTTTAAAGTTCTTTGATTCCTAGGGAGTAGAAGTCAAATGCTGTCTTTTAAGGCTCTTTATTGTTCACTTTCATCTAATCTTTACACATTCTTTTCTTCAGCCCCAGGGTTTTTTTTTTTTTTTTTTTGCTGGCTCCATGCTTTACTTTCACTGTTCCTTCATCCTGGAAGACTTTTCCCTCATCTTCTCATATCCAATTCTCTACAGTCTTTTGCTAATATGGCAACTTTACATAGATATTTTTTTTGTTCTTCCCAATTGAAGATAATTGGCCCCTTTGCCAAATTTCCATAACATTTTATCTGGATTCTCCCCTGTCCCTGCCCTCCCCTTAAAGCATTGTAGGATTTTATATGCATATTTTATCTCATCCTTTGGACTGAGGATCTTTGAAATTAGGACCCGTGTAATAATTTATCTTTGTTTTCTGCTCAGTGCATGTAAGACAGTAATTATTGAATTAATCAACATTTTTAATTATAATACCAAAATGGGAATTAGAAAATTTACTCATATCCCTTGTTAGATTTTCCCTGTCATATTCATCCTAACTTTTGGATATAGGTGAGATGAATCATGAATTAAAATATAGCATAGAAATTAATTAATTGATTAAACTATGTTTTAGGCCCTATGCTAGGTGCTAGGGATATAAAGATTAATAAGCCGTAAGTCCAACACTACAGGAACATATGGCCTCCAGGGGGAGATATGCATATTAAATAAATAATTTCTGTAAAGTATGATATAAATAGTTAAGTATACCTGGAGTATTTGTGTTCAGAAGTGGGGATAATTAATCTCTGTCATGCACAGAGACACATTTGCCTTTTGATTTGGTCATGTTCTCTAGGAAGATAAGCAAGGAAGGGCATTTTAGGCCAAAAACATGTATACGAAGATATTTAAGCATAAGAAGGTATGGAATTGCTAGAATGAGTATTGCTAGAATGTAAAGTGTAAATAGTGAGAATGGCAAGATAGAAAGACATAACTGGGGTCCAAAATAAAATGAGGAGTTTTGGATGCCATTTTAATTAGTTTGGTCTGTGGGTCATATTAAGAATCCCTTGAGAGTTTTAAACAGGGACATTAGGATAGTTATACTGGATGTTTTAGAAGAGTATCTCTGACAGCAGTATAGGGGATAGATTAGGGAAGGACATCAGATAGTTATTTACTTTAATATAGAGATAGTGAAGGGCTGAATTGATGAATGCTGTAGAGATAGAGAAGAGAGGGATTCAAGGGATATTTAGGAAATATAAAAGATTGGTCTTATTATTCAAAACCTGCTATCAGTGAGAAATAATATGGAAATTTTAGGATAAATATTGTATCTTCATTTGGAATGGGCCTGGTGGGACTGCATTGGTGAGTTTGATCACCAATGAGTGAGTTTGATAGTATGGAATGATCATCTCCCTTGTAAAGGCAAAAAATATTTTTCTATCTTTTATGAGCATGTTAAACTTGATGAGATATTATTTATACATTTTTCTCATATAGATATTTATGTAAATAACTCAGCCGTTATCATTTGCTTTTGCTTCATACTCAAGATCCAAGTTAATTTTTGTTTAATGGTTGTGATGGTAGAAGGGATAATGAATATAAAGAAAATGTTAATCTAATTGAAGGAAATGCATTTTTTTTAAATAGATTTTTATGAAACCAGATTTTGCCTTGGACGATTCCTTAACTTTTAATTCAGTTTTACCATGGTCTCATTTTAATACTGCTGGTGGAAAAGGAAATCGTGATGCAGCTTCCTCAAAGTTGCTTCAAGAAAAGGTAATTTCTCTTTGCCTTTTTCCATGTAGAAAATGTTATCCTGCTTAAGTGGTACTATTTGTGTGGGTTCAGATTTACTTATTTAGTAAGCTCTACTTATTTTAAATTCATTTTTGTAGTTACTGATAATTCTAAACCTTCCAATCTTAACTGATAAACTAATAGCATTTTAGTTCAATTAAATACAAATTGTGCTGGCGAAAAAGGAAAAATTTACTGTTTGAGTGCTACTTATCTGAAATAGCAGTTGATGGAATTTTAATTGAAAAGATATGTTTAGGTAACTCAGATACGGCACTGTTCTCTATCCTGGGCAATAGAGGGAGACCCGGTCTCAAAAATAACAAAAAGAGAGAGAGATAACACAATGAATTGCTTTGCATTTATCCCAAACATTTCAGTTATATGTTGGCTAATTTTGTAAGAATGATTTAAAGCACAGAAAACCAACTTTCCCTGAGGTACTTACTGTTTTTTCTCATTTTCACTAGTAAGGATGATTATTTTGAAGCAAAAATATCTTAAATTTTAGCTTTGTGAAGCTAGTCTTTTGCATGTTATTAGTCAGTAGTTCTTTAAATTTTACAATGTTCTGTATTTCATGAGTCAATATCTTTAAAGTCATTTAACATTTAGAACTTTAAAAATAACTTACATGTTGAGGATCTTAAAAAAACTTGAGTGGTAATAAAGACCTTTGATCTCTCTTGTTTCCCAGCATTCCGTTTAGAGTTTTTCTAAAACTGTGGTTTTTAAAATGAGAAGAAATCATTTTGTTTCACTCTAGTGACATCCCTTGACAATCTGAAAGCATGTCTCAGGCACAGTATTTAATAAACTAGATCCGGTCTTCACAAACTGAAGAAAAGACTAGGTTGAGGGAGGAGAGGAGAAGAAATATGGGTAAAGAATCATGAGAATTCCTTTCTCACAAATTAAAATGAGCTTTTCCTTTTGGCAACATTTTTATCTATAAAGGGTTTCATTGAGTAAGAACAGATTCATAAATCTGAAGAAAACCATGGATTTATAGACACAGGCTTGCTCCTGGACCACTTGTTTACATTCTAAGTATATGCCTTGGTAGAAGAATACCTTGAAAAAAGAATAATACCTTAACAAAAGCCAATACAAATCATGTCAATCTATAGAGATATTTTTAGGAACACTTTAAAAATTGTTCTTTAAAAATTTTTAGGAACACTTTATAAAATTCTTTTATAGCATTTTGATATAAAATAACTGTAAAAATTATTATATGCCTCTGAAAAGAATAGATCAATGAAATATTGATAAATTACAAAAATGTTTGAAATTCAAATGAAATGCTTTTTTTCATGCTGAATGTTTAAAGGAGTCCTCAAACTATGGCCCGCGAGCCACATGTGGGTGTTTTTGCTCGTTTGTTTTTTTACTTCAAAATAAGATATGTGCAGTGTGCATAGGAATTTGTTCATAGTCTTTTTAAACTATAGTCCAGCCCTCTAACGATCTGAGGGACAGTGAACTGGCCCCTTGTTTAAAAAGTTTGAGGACCCCTGGTTTAAAGTGACTAAGGTAGTGAAATTTTTTTATTTGTAAGTTGCAGAATCAAATTTGCTATATTTATATTCTGACTCTTTTTTATTCTGCTCTGTTCTTAGACTAGGAATAGAATGGACTCCAAAAGAGCACTATCAAACTCTCTTTATGTTGGACAACAGCTAGTTTATTTTGTTAGCTTTAAAGAGAGGGGATGCTACAACCAGAATTCAAGAAATTTGTATCCTATTTATAGTAGTACCTCAGTTGCTAGGCTGCAATGAGATAAGGAGTTTGCACTGGAATACAAATCACTGTACTGTTTCCTTTATTAAGAAGGTCTATGGAAAAAAAATGAAATGTGCTTAGTAGTGATGTAGTTGATTTATTTTCCAGCAAAATTCCTTACTTTATTATGGCCATGTTAAACAGTCCACAGATTGGCAGTGGCATGTAACCCATATTCTGAGTAGCACTGTACAAAAGGAATTATCCATTTTCCATTTACTATTCTAAGAATGGAGTCTACTTTAGCGTATAATCTACCCTAGTACATTTGTGCCCATGTTACTTTTTTAGGTAAATAAATATACAGCTGTATTCAGGATGCAAAGAACAACACAAAAGGGCATAAACTCAAGACATTTAAACTGTGGAAAAATTTCTTGTAACTATTTAGATATTATAATAAGATTATTGAAGGAGCATTATTGAAGGTACGAGTGATACTGTATGGTTTTAAGGAAAACAGATTTGATGACCAAATAATCTCATCTAAACATCTAAGTCCTAAATGCTATGAATTCTCCTGAGATATTCAGAGATAATGTCTAAAATCTGAGCTATAAGTTATTACTAAAAAAATGGGAGAGAAATGGAAAGATAGTGTAGCTAAAAAAGGCTTATGCAGTTAGGAAGAAAAGACAAATTAAGTTTTAGAATTTCATATTTGAAATTTAGAAGGCATTTTTAATATATATCACTGTAAGAATTACTCTTGGTAGTATTACAAATAAAATATACATGAACTAATTGTTTAAGGTATTTGTTAATAACCTTTTAAGAGGAAAATATTTTGGAAATAAACTGCATTTTACTAATTGGTAAAAGAATCATTTTTGAAATGTAAAATAAACAGCCTGAAGAAAAGAAGATCCAAATGAATCCTAGTACTTTCTATAATTTGTAACTGAACCACCAATCTGTCTTTCTTGGATTCTTTAGAATTTTGAGGCAGTGTGATACAGTAGAAAGAGCTTCAGTTTTGAGTGAGACAGACCTGGGTTTACATTTTAGTTTTGCTACTTACTAACCACATGACTTTATTCAAGTTATCTAATGTCTCTGAATTTTTCCACCTGTAAAATGAGAATAATAATACCTGTTTTCCAAGATTGTTAAATTAGAAAAATTAGATATATATAAAATACCTGTGCCTGGTATCATATAGTAGGAGGAGTTCAGTAAATAGAAACTATAGCCATCTATTCCGTCAGGTAAGTGATGTGTGATGTTGTGGTGGGTAAAGAGATTATATTTTCTTATATCTTAGAACTTTTGAAACTAGAATTATAATCTGAGATGGCTGTGGGGTACCCTTATCTTTTAGAAAGGAGTTGATGTTTGGAGGGTAGTAGTGGCAGGAGTAGAGGAAGAAGGTAAATCAACTTCTACTCTTTTGTTTTATATTTATTAATCTTTGGGCTGTACCTTTCATCTCCCTTTCGTTTTGTTGTGCCTAATTCCAAGGGTCTCACAATCAGTAGTTCACACAGTGGAATTTAAAATACACGTAGAAATCTTTTATTTTCATTTTCAGAAAGTATTTGTATAGTCAAAGAAGGTATTCTTACAATATTCCATAATTTTTTTTCCTTCCTTTTTAAGCTGAGCCATTATCTGGATATTGTGGAAGTAAACATTGCTCACCAGATCTCTCTACGTTCAGAAGCATTTTTTCATGCAATGACCTCTCAACATGAATTGCAGGACTACCTCAAGAAAACTTCCCAGGCTGTAAAAATGCTTCGAGATAAAATCGCACAGATTGATAAAGTAATGTGTGAAGGATCACTACACATTTTAAGACTGGCACTCACCAGAAATAATTGTGTTAAAGTGTATAATAAACTGAAGTTAATGGCCACTGTACACCAGACTCAGCCTACAGTACAGGTTTTATTATCTACTTCTGAATTTGTTGGAGCACTGGACTTAATAGCAACAACACAAGAGGTTCTACAGCAGGAACTTCAGGGCATTCACAGTTTCCGGTATGTCCATTAAATAAGCCATTAGAAATAATGTTAGAAATTTTTAAAGGACAAATTTTAGCATATAATGTTAAAAGTATGAACATATTCAAAGTTAAATGGGTATTTTTTTCTTCCAGATTGATCTGTTTAATAATGTCATTATTCTGATATTTTAGTATTAGCAAAGCAAACAAAACCCATGAGGAATAATATATACAGAGACATTTGGATGGAGAAGCAAAATGAAAATTTCTAGTAGGTGAAATAAATGCAAGGCCAGTCACACACATGGAAAATAACATTTGAAAATGTTGAAATAATTTTGTGTCAAGATGGCAGATCAAGGTAGAGAGGGGGTACCAGTATATTTAAAATTAAGTTAATTTAAAAAGCCCTTTAATAGATTTTTAAATTGAATAATTATTAAATTTCATTTCTGATTTGCAGTCTGTTTATCATATTACTAAAAATTCCACATGGTGATAGAAAAGACCCAATTTCTCCTAAGTTATTATCTCAAAAATACCTTTAAGATGATAATTCTAGATATTTTATGTGAAATCATTTTAAAATGTTTATTTTATAGGTAGACCAATTGCAAGCCATCAGAATTTCATTCATTTAAGCAGGCTTTTAGTGTCCTTGTAGAAGTTTCTATCCGCTGGGAAACCCATTCAAACTATGTACTACTAAGTAACTACAGAGAAATTTTATGAAAGATATATTATTTAACTTAATATATTCTAGAAAAGTTACTTTCAAAATAAACTTATTCTAATTGAATTATAAATTCTTATTGACTAAGAATATGTATTTAGACCTTTTTTAAATTATTTATTTGTTTTTTTAGATAGAGTTTTACTCCGTCATCCCTGGTAGAGTGCAGTGTCATCATCATAGCTTACTGCAGCCTCAAACTCCTGGGTTCAAGTGTTCCTCCTGACTCAGCCTCCCAAGTAGATGGGATTAGAGGCTTGCACCATCAAGCCTGGCTAATTTTTCTATTTTTAGTAGAGATGGGGTCTTGCTCTTGTTCAGGCTGGTCTCGAACTTCTGCGTAGCCATGCCCATCACTAGGTCTTATTTTTGGGGTAGGGCTTATATTGCGCAAATGCTTAGAAATCCTGCTAGGGCTTATTTTATGGGTAGGTCTTATTTTCGGGGAAACACGGTGTATAATATCATTAATATTGATGAATTGGAAGCTGACATCCTCTGGATAGTACAATGTTTAGAAATGGAACCAAAGATTGAATGCTTGCTTGCCAAACACAAATTCTAAAACTATTGTATTTTTTACCCCAGAGTTCATGCAGTTTATTTTATTTTATTTTCCTTGACTCATAAGTTTATGCTTAGTAGTATTGATGAAAAGTATAGTTAGCCAAAGCTATCTGGAAAAATTTTAAGAGCAGGGTTGGATATTTATTCTCAATAGATTAAGATTTATTGGAGTACAGACTGAAAATTTTATAATCTTGTATTTATTCTGAGCCCAAGGAAGAGCTTACCTTTATTTTCATACTTATGTTTTTGTTTACACCTTAAAGGATAGGATATTGTGCATTAAAAAATGTATATGATTTTCAAAAAGACTTTCAAGTGTTCTGATTGTTTACATTTTACTCAAATATGTTTCTATTATCTTTTTAGAACCTACCCATGGGTAAAGCATATTTATTCTTCATGTAAAACATTTCTATAAAGCTGTCTACCAAATTCAGTTCCAATATGTTTATAACTATAAAAGTTTGGTGTCAGAATTTGAGTTTCTAACTTCTGATAAACATCTTCATAAGCAAATTCTCAAAAATAGAAGTAAGAAAATACTTTTTAATCAAGTAAGAATAGTGAATCCTACTTGAAATAGTTTAAGACTGGCTTCTTATAACTCAATTTTTTTTTGTTTTAAATTTCTGTTAAATCCTGTCTGATGATTTACTTTCTTGACCTTATCTTTCCTTTTGCTATAAGGTTATTAAATATCAATATTAATTATTTCTTGTATAGCTTCACAGATATTTTTAAGGCCATTTAACTTTATTTAGAAGCATGAGAATTAGTTTTGGTCTTTTTTGTTTTTGTCTAATCAATTGGGAGAACATGTATTATAGGTATCTTGCCTACTATAAGCATTAGTAGTATAAATTGTGTTCTCCTTAGTTTATTAAAATGATTATGCTCTCCCACTAGGAGATAAGAAATATTCTACTTGAATTTCACACACTTTTCTCTTTTTTTTATACCAGAGGCTAACTTTTAGTCAGTTTTTTGGGATATATCTTAGAAAAGCATAAGGTCTTACTTGAAATATGAAATCTTTCTCTCAGTGGAAGAATCAAAGGACTCTATTGAATTGTTAGTAGTCTTTCCTTTTTATAGTTTAGTCCAAGTTTTGCTTTTGGCTATAATGTTCTTTCTATTGCTTTTAAAGGGAACTTTTATGCCAAAATCTTCCAATAGTCAAATTACCACAAAGGCAAATCTGTTTTTTTGAAGAATTTAAATATTTTTATTTGTGTACCATTTTTTGTGTACTGTTAACCTAACATCATATTTTTTCTAGTCAATGATAGTAAATAATGCTTATGTTTTCTTTTTTCTGATTTTTTCTGTATTTTTGACTGTGAAATTATTTTCTGTATAAACCTTTTTTGTGACTTCTAAACTCCCAGAACACTTTGGTTTACTCTCTAATGAAATTATACAGTATTCTATCATGTTTTATTATCATTTGTGTTTTTATTTTAAATCCTTTTATTGGTCTTTAAATGTCTTGGACAAGATCTGTCATACAGATCTTAATAAATATTTGTGAAATCTGTGAACTATCCAGTTTATTGCTAAATGTATTTTGATACTTTGTACCATTCTCTTTTTCTTTCTTTTCTTTTTTTTCTTTCCATAATTATTGTCCCTAATTAATCATACTTATTTCCATAATTATCATCCCTTATAGTTTGTATATGACTGTGGTTCTTAATCCTGGCTGCATAATAATAGAATCCTCAGTAGAGCTTTTAAAAAGGTATGCCATATCCCAACCAAACCAATTAAATTAGACTTCCCAGAGGGTAAGGCCTGAGCATCTGTGTTTTTTTAAAGCTCTTGGGGAGATTCTAATGTGCACCAAAATTTAAAAGCCTAGTTTACAATTACTATTGAGTACTCTACTTTTTCAGGATTTCAAATTAAACTGGTAACATCATCCTACATAAATTTGTTCTTTTTAAAACAAAATATTCAACTTAACATCTTCCTGTCTCTATTCAAAGAGGTTTCTGCTAGTGGGTACAGTGTATCTGATAGCAATGTAAAAATTCCAAAATTTGATCCCTTCTGCTGAATCTGAAGGGTGATTTTCACATTGGGAAATTTTGGCTCATTGCATATGCATAATTATTACAATGACTCCTTTGTATATTTGTTGATTTTGTAATTTTCAAAGATTTTAAATGATTTTACCACCTAAATTGTTGCAAAATTGGAAATTTTTAATTATTAAGACATCCATATTTTTAACCATTACTTATGAAATGAAATTCTGATATCTTTTACCTATAAAAATGATAATCAGTGAAGTAATATATATCATTTGTGCTCTGTACTGATGTAATTGATGAGGCTAATGACATTCAAATGCTTAAGCAGATATAATACAGAAATCTCATATGGGGCCTACAAATACATTTGAATGTTGATATCTTATAGGTTTTGATATTGAAAGGCTTCATTTACCTTGAAGTTCAGGACCGTAATATTGTTATTTGCTCTTATTGTAAAGCTTTATGTAGAAACTCCTTTATTTTCATCATCGTTGTTAATGTTCTTTTCTTACTACTTACTACCCCAATTACTCTACTGGTGCTGCCACCACCCTACAACTGAGGACATTTATTGAATACTACTCTGTAGCAGGTATTTTGCTAGGTATATTGCATGTATTATTTGAAACCCCCTCCCCCCCAAAACCCTATGAGATAGGTAATGTTAATCCTCATTTTTATAGATAGGGAAATAGGCTTAAAAATCTTAGATAACTTGCCTCAGGTCATACAGCAAGTTGTAAAACAATAGAGATTTAATGTAGGTCTCATTGGACCTGAGAACTTTGCTTTTTAATGTATTTGTTTGAGGATCTCATAGGATCTCAGATAGATCATTATGAACCTCAATGCTAATTTAATAGTAAAAAAGATGTTAAAACTGTGGGCAATTGAGCTGTAGATTTGCTGAGCCAGGAACTACCATAGTAATTTTAGGATAAAAATTACTGAAACTAGCTTATTTTCTGGTTATAAGCCTTTTTTTTTTTTTTGAAAGAGAAGGTAGAAAACATTTAGAGTTTATTATAAATTCCAGTTTATTACAGTTTCATTGATCAGACCCCACTTTTGGATTCCATTTAAGGGATTTTTATTATTGGATATATCAAAAGGTATTTAACATATTATTTGATCCTGAAATAATGTCCTATAATTTAGACTTCAAAACATTATAGTAAGAAAACATCCACATCATATGTTATGGAATGAAACCAAAAATTGGACTTTCTGCTATTAGATGAAACTAGATTTACTGTAGAGTTTATTGATATACAAGTTTCTTAATAAAAGCAGCACAGAGGTCACTATTGAACATACAGCTTAGTAGAAAATCTGAATTAATGTACAAATTGAGACATATCTAAGTAGAAAGTATTGGAATTGTTCCCATTTACTTCGTTGGATATATGGACTTAACGTACTTCTTCAGAAAGTGATATTTTAGTTACTTTTCTTTTCAGGACATTCTCTCGCCACTCTAAATTACTATATGTGATTATTAGGATACATGCTTTTAAAGTAAACTGTTAGCAGATTCATCCACTACTAAATATTTTTGTTAAGGTTAATAATACACAGACAATTATTATTGCATTTGTTATCAAAGTAGTCAAGAATGCAAAAAGAACGATTATAGCAAGGATGAATAGGTCAGTCTTAAAGGACGTTACAGTTCTGGATGTTTTATTTAAG